ATGAGGTTTGAGTGTAATGACTAGATATTTGTACATATAGATGCAGGGAATATTAGATCAATAACCAAAAATCATATTCTTCTTCAGAATGACATTGTCACTGAAGAAACGGCTTATGTCGGCTTACAATCTGGAGTCCATCAAGGTTGTTGCATGGGGTATCACTCATGAAGATGATGCTTTGAGAAAGTATGAAAAGGATTTTGATGCAGCTATAGAGCAATCAGGTATACAGCAAAAAATAATATTCCTTCAACCTCTGACATGTTAACATTCATTGTGTCGAAACAAATAACAGGACTTATCCTAGTGACAAATAGAAATCAATTGCTGAAGTCCAATTGTAAAAAAAAAAAAAAATATTCAGTTACCAATATATTCCAGAAAATTTGTTGGAAATGGAGACCTACTTAAAAATAAACCTAGTACCACTCTGTACAAGTATATCCATATACTCTATTTGAAGTAGAAAGGATTATAAAAGCTCTACTTAGACTTTGTGTGCATTACAAAATCAATTGTAATTGGTTTGTTTGCATTCAGTAGTATTATATTTTTTCCTGAAAGGAATATGGTTGCATGAATCAGGAGTGTTGGGTGCTTCACCTGAGGGCTTAGTTGTTCGACCACCAACATGCAGTGTATTTTATCAAACTCCAGAAGCCAAAGACGCCATTCCTGATATTGTAGAGGTGAAGTGTCCATATACAGCATCGTCTTCAACAGTAGCAGATGCAGCACAAAAGTCGAAGGATTTTTTCATAGGTAAATAACAATTTATAAGTTGGATTAAAAAACTTAATTGTCCAGTACTTTGAAATTAAAAATCTTGGTGAGTAAATGATTTCAATACATGTATTGATTTACAAGTGCAACTGTTCAATATAGTATGAAGATATGGAAAAGGGAGGGGATATGAATAGTTAGAACACAACTTAAGTGTTTTTGATTTTTTAGATATTAACATCAATTCTCTGTAAGGACCAAAGTTTTACTGTAGGGCTGTGGCACACACTATGGGCGATTTCAATGAAACTTTTTCAGGTGATTAATGCCCATACAGTATGACATAATCAACATTCAAAATTAAGGTTACCACCTTGGTTGCCATGGTAACGGACAAAAATAGATTTTGACCCCATTTATGCCCATTTCACACATAAAAATGCTATATAATTCATTTCATATGGTATAATCATCTTTATTTTTATAAGATAAATAATAAATTATATGAACAGGACACATGGAGCAATATATTACACAAATAAAAAAAAAATTGTAAATGTCACAGCAAATTCCTCAATTGGTGGCTCAAAGATGACCAAATTCTAACATTTCGAAAATGGACATTTTTACCCTGTTTTTCAAGAGGTCTATCAAAAATTGCAAGCACTATGAGAAAAAATCAACTGAAATTTTAAAAACACTATCATAATGTTATTCAACTTTTATAAAAAGTAGAGTGGGTATTTTATTCGTTTAAAATATTTTTAACTTCGAAAATTGGCATTTTGCCAAATAATTTGTTTCTTTTTCAAAATTTTACCAGACACTAGTTGTTTAATAAAATTTCTTTTCCAATCAGTTTTTTCTTTAAAATATGAGAAATCAAATGAATAATAAATGTTTACAATTTTTTTTAAAGCTATTAATTAAAATAAATCAAAATTAATTGTTTTATTATTGTTTCTCAATGATCCCTTACAAAGGGCAAATAACTCAAAATCTAGCAAAGATTAGCTCTTTGATAGCCATTTTTTTTTATAAATAATTTAAACTTCTTTGTCATGCACTGATTCTGATGAAACTTTCCCCATTAGTACTACTTGATACCAGAAATAAAAATATCAAATAAAATTTGGTTGCAAGGTATCTTGGTTGCTATGGAAACAGCCAGAATTTTTTGAAAAATTGAGACTTTTGGCTAGTACTTGAAATCTCAACTGAACATTTAATAAAATCTAAGAAAAACCAACAAATTATTGTCACAAAAACTACACACCTTGTTTTAATTTTATGCTACACAGAAAATGTTTAGAAAATTATTTGTACATGTAAGTCAGTGGTAAATATGGGTATATTTGAAAGCCAATTTAAATACTGAAAAATGCAAAGTATTCACTAATTCTAGGCGTCACTTGACCAAAATTTAATAATAACTTAAGAAAAACAATAAAATGTTTGATCTCAAAGACATAGGTGTTAGCAAAATCATTCTATAAATAACTTTTAGGGTTTCCACAGTTACACAGTAAAACCAAGCAAAATAAGATTCTAAGATTGGATTAATGCTATTATCTTGAGGAAAAACAAGAAAATTCTAGACTGGCACATACTAGTATGCATCTTTAAGACCTTGCAACACCAACAACATACTGAAAACTTTTCACAGGAACTTTGCCCAGCAATCAATATTTTCAAATACTAGATACAAAATGGAGAAAAGGAGCTGAATCTAAATTGACTATTAAACTAACAACACATTGAAAAAAATCGTTAATATATCACTTACAATCTGTAAACATACACATACTCATTTGTATTCTGTTTATCAGTTTTATTCACGAGAACATTATTTTCCCACTATTAAACAAGACTTTGTGCTCTCAGAAAATTAATTCTCACATAAAATAGTATTTTTTGAGATTAAAAAGAGTATTGACACCAATTTGTGAAAAATGTGTCTATTTTAAAAAAAGAGTCAATGACAATGTTGTGAAAATAAGGTAAAATAATTGCAAAAATTATGTGATCTACAGTACATGTATATATAACAACTTTTATAATATGTTTTACGGTGTGACCGTTGGGGCGAGCGCAGTTTATTTAATATCATAAACCTACACATGTACTGTCTATCATTTAAGAAAAAGAAAGCGAAAAGAATAAAACAAAACAATAAAAAGAAAACATTTCCCAAGCATCGGGATCGAGATTCCAAACTTTTCGGAAGTTTCCGACAAAATCGGAAATACCCAAACCCTTGAAGTGACGAAAGTATGACGTCAGATAAAAAGTTCTGTTGACCTAGGATGCAAACGCTAGTTTTATGGAAAAGAGATTGCATTAAATCGTTCTTTTCAAGTAAGTTGTTGCTATGTTTTAGCCACCATGTTGCTATGCACCGCAACATGTTTTCCGAGTTTCACGGAAGCAACCGACATAACTTCGTCAAAATTCGTAAGTTTCCAGTGACGTCATTTGTATCATTTCCGAAGGACAAGGTGAAGGCCTGTGTTGTGGCATGGGGGTATTTTTTTGAATTAGGTAAGGCGAAAGCATTTCATTAAGATTTCGGTAAGAAACAATGTTCCTTTAGTTTTTTTTACTATTTTTGATTTATTCGCGCAAAGGACATTGGGTAGTGCAGGAATTCTGGGAATGTTGCACAGAGAAATTTGGCTCACGTATGTACAGATTTCAATCCGAATTTCCTCTGTTCATCCACGTTAGTCTATTGAGCTCGCTTCGCGAGCGTCGCTTTGCGACGCTCGCTGCGTTCGCTATTAATACAGTCTTTTTTTCAAATTATTTATCAAGAAAATCTTCATTCTGAACATTATCTAAAATGTGTATTTATATGTCAAAATATGGAAAAAAAAAATCTGTTACATAACAATTTAGTTCAAACAGCTAGACTTAAAGTTACCCCTTTTTTTTTTTCTTACATCAGACGTTTACTGTTACAGTAATTAAACTTAGTTATAACAAAGGCATGGGGACCTTCGAAATTGCTTTGCTATATCTGTTATTTGTTATATCTGTATAAGGAATGTTTTAAAATTATATAGTTAGGGATCCAAGATGACTTCGCTTTATCCGTAAATTCACAATATCCGTGTTTGTACTAAACGAGTTTTGCTGTATGTGGTGTTATGGCTGTCCAGTGAAGAAAGTGGGTTTAAAAAGTGACACTTGAAATAATCATCTTCGACTTTTTCCCTGAAATAAAAAATAACATACATCTATACCCAATTTAAATTCATTATTTTTCTACAACATTTTTTTCATGTGAAAACAAAATTGATATTTTTTTCACTATCATGTATTTAATTCTAAACCAATTGTTAGTATTTACACCTTGAAAAAAATACCTCAAAAATATTTTAAGTATAAACAATGGAAGATAAAAGCAACCTAAAAAATTTAGTGAATTTACCATCACAAACTTCAAAACTTCTGAACTCCAATTTCTTTAAACAGAATTCCCTCCAAAAGAATACTGTTTGGTAACGATAATGTCTGGAGTTCAGTTCTCATGCAGGATCACTTGCAAGTTTTCTGTCTTTGTTTATTAATTTTGTAACTGCCTCCTGTTTCTGGTACACAGTGGACCTTCAGATATCCGGACGCCAGATATCCGGACGATTTTTCATCGGAACGAAATTTTTAAATGTTATTCTGTCTTGTTTAACTGGTGATTCAGATATCAGGATATTTCACATATCCAGACAAATTAAATTGGAACCAAAGCGTCCGGATAAATGAGGGTCCACTGTATAACCTTTGTGTTAAAAAAAGATAATAAAAACATAAAAACAAAGATTATTTCCTAATAAGTTGCAACTATATAGTTCATTGCTGTATACTGGATACTAGTATTTTTATTTAGGGTTCCTCTATTTATAGTGCCTTATATGCAACTTTCTTGCATAAATCATACATATATGCATCATGTATGTTAGGGATATTCATACTATTTCATATATACATGTATCCAAGTACAGTTGCATAATAGCTTAATACATATTCAATTTATGAATTTGTAAATACAAGAAAAACTTTAAGATAAAATTTTGATTGACTACTTGTAAGTTATATGGTGTTCCCACAATTAATTTTGAATTTGCTTGTGAATTAAGTATGGTAAGAGTATATTTCTTTTAATATATAGAACAAAAAAAAAATTCTAAAACCTCTTTGATAAAATTTTTATTAAAACATACATCATGTGTTGACTTTGTTGAGAAAATTGAATTAATTTAAGTAACAGTGTACTTACAGTTGCTCATATATCTTTTATTGGTGTCATTTGTATCATTTGTAACCTTTCACAGGTGATGCTCCTGTGTCACAGTTCTAAAATGTAACAATACAATCATAGTAGGTTCTACAACCAATTTTTGATTCTTTTTTTAAATTACTGTATCCCAAAACTTTATAAGAAACAAGAGGCCCATGGGCCACATCGCTCACCTGAGCACTAAGGGTAGGAAAGAGTAGAAAATGTTTTTTTATTGTAAAGTTTAAATCCAAAAGTAGTCCCATGACCAATCATGGATTGGCTATTTTTTAGAAAAATGATTTTTAAAGAATTTTCCTATATATATCTTTAAAAACTTTGGTTGGCCATTTTGGCCCCGCCCTACCCCTGGGGGTCATGATTTGATCAAAATTGAATCTACACTACTTGAGCATGCTTCCATATAAATATGATGAATTATGGCTTTGTCATTCTTGAGAAGAAGATTTTTAAAGAATTTTCCTATATATTTCTATGTAAAACTTTGGTCGGCCATTTTGGCCCCGCCCTACCCCGGGGGGTCATGATTTGAACAAACTTGAATCTACACTACCTGAGGATGTTTCCCCATAAGTTTCATCTTTCCTGGCACAGTGGTTCTTGAGAAGAAGATTTTTAAAAGATGCCACTAAATTTTCATTAAATTCCCAATTATCTCCCCTTGAATGAAGGCTTGGCCCTTCATTTGAACAAACTTGAATCCCCTTCACCCAAGGATATTTTGTGGCAAGTTTGGTTGAAATTGGCCCAGCGGTTCTTGAGAAGAAGTTGAAAATGTGAAAAGTTTACAGACAGACAGACAAACAGACAGACGGACGCCGGACAAAATGTGATCAGAAAAGCTTACTTGAGCCTTCGGCTCAGGAGACCTATAAATCATGACATTAATAAAAGATTTAATTTTGCTGTGGTACATGTAGTTATTAGCATTAAATTATGATGAATGTTTATTTTATTAGCATCAAATTATGATGAATGTTTATTTCCTTACCAGGTAATTTTAATATTTAAAAAAAATTCTCACCTGCTTTTTACTGAAAATGAATTCTCAATGTATCTTTTCATCTTTATTTTCATTGTTAGAACTGTATTGGTACATCTAAAAATAAATTTATTATTAATTATTAAAATGAAATAAATTTGTGTGAATACATACCTTCAAGCTAGGGCATATCATTTTTATACATATATTTTATTAAAGTGTGTATATATTGCTAAAGTTAATTAAAAATTATGGGGGTTTTTTCACAGTCAAACTGAATAGAGCCTTATAATATGCATGTGTTTACGTCCGTCTCTAATTTATACACACTTCCCTAAATATTTTTAGCCCCCCCCCCCCCCCCCCAATAAAACACACACACACTTAACAACAATGTAGTCTGTGCCCGAAAACACATATTAATTTTTCATTTCATACACACAAACCTAAGTTACATCTTCTATTACATTCTCCTCCTAATCAATAGTTGTATGATTTTCAAGAGTAAGTTAATTAATTTGCTTTCTAAAGTAAACACAAATTTCTACTTTTTTTTTATACCTGTGCCTAGGGTAGATCCATTCCTACTGATTTCCCGGTGGCCGTATCCACTGCTTTTTAATGTTTTCTTCCATTTGCATCATAATGTACGTATGGGTTTTTAGAATAGATGGAATCCCTCTAGTCAGACTTCATAAATTTTGTTCCAATATTTCACAAGACCTGTCTCTTTCATTTTCATTAATTGATTGATGACTTACTTTATCACTCGCAACTTAAACATCATTTTATCATTGTTTATTTTCCTGGTGTCTGTTTAGCCACATGTTGTTAGATAAGGGTGAAACGTTTACTGAATTTTGTAAACGTTTAAACGAACAGCAGTAATCGAAACGGCACCGTTTAAACGGAAGAATTTTTTGTGTTGAATTTTTATGGATATTTACCACTGAAACACTTTCTTAATAAACCATTTTTTCACTTTCATTTAAGTATGTGTTGTTATTACTATTTATGTACCTTTTTTTAGAGCAGAAGGGTATGAAGCCCATTAAACTAATACATTTATACACCGTCACGTAACATTGCATTAATGGTTTGCTTGGCTACATACCGGATACAAAAAGAGCATTGTAAAATCAAACCTGCAAAGACAGACCTTTTAATCCCGAATTAAGTATACCACGATCTGCTGATTGTAGCAAAACACTTGAAAGACTTGTGAAAACGTATTTATTTAATTAATCAAACTCAATTAAATTTTACTTTTCAAAACTCAAAAGTCAAACCACATACAAAATAATTGAACAAACTTGCAATAGTAACATCAATCATCGCGAAAGTTCAAAGTTAAAACTGTCAGTCATCAAATGTGGGGAGTGTTGGCAGTGAAGGCATTCCTGTTTCGGGTGTTTCTTGATTTGGTCGAGGAGGAGACTTTGGTTCCTGTTTCACCTGAATAATCTCGGGTCCGGGAGTAGATGATCAAGTTTCCTGAGCTACTGCAATTGCAATTTTTTCCTCTTGTTTCAACTGCTTATTCAAGAAAACAAGCTTGTCGACCGAGTCCGAGTCAAGCGATGCTCGCAGCTTGGTAACTGTGCCCCCGGCGGTAGAAAATACGCGCTCTGAGGAAACCGAGGTTGCAGGAATGCAGAGTAATTTCCGGGCTAACATAGATAGCTTCTTATATGTTTCAGTATTTTTCTTCCACCAAATAAAAGGGTTGGATTTCGTATTTACAATTTTTTCCGACACATATAACTTGATTTCATCTTCAATTGTTGCCGGGGCAACAATTTCACAATCAGTTTCATAGTATTCTCCAAGCAAGTACGACATATCATCCTGATTAATACGCCCACGCTTGGTCGTTGGTTCATATTCTTGTGAATTATTCTGTAAATCCGAACAGGATTTTTCAGCAACTGGTTCATTGGGTAGAATGTCAGTTGTGTCACGCTGAAAATAGGATTTGATTGCTTCCTGCACAACAGTTCTCTTCTCCTCAGACAAAAAGGGGAGGGATTTGTACCGTGGATCCAAGAATGAGCAAAGCATCGGAACGCTTTCAACTTCAGAACCAATTGAAAATCTGCTTTCCAAATCAGACTTTACGTGTCTCTTAAATGAGGCCACGGCAACGCGATCCGAGTCCGTGGAAGTTAGGTGTTTGTTGAGTAGGCTGTAAAGTACTGGATATACACCACTTACAGTTGGGTACTCCTCGCTGCACATCACTCTTGTCGCCATATAAAATGGCCGCAGCACTGTTATCATTCCTTCCAAAATTAACCACTGTCCATCACTTAAGTCGAGAATTCTGGCGTCATTTTCTTTGGTAACTTTTTTATCATGCAGAACAGCATACACAGCCATACGTTGCTCCTGCAGACGCTCAAACATATCAAATGTACTATTCCAACGCGTAGGACAGTCAATGATCAAATTGTTCTCAGGGAGGGACATTTGTTTCTGTCGAACATGCAATTCGTTAGTAGCAATAACCGATTTTCTAAAATGAGAAACAAGTTTCTTTGTTGCAGCAATTGTTTTCGATAGAGAACTCGCATTATCGAACCCACCGCGAATTGCTAACTGCAATGTGTGAGCAAAGCATCGAATGTGTTCCCACCGAAGATGTTCAACACAGGACACCATATTCGAAGCATTGTCCATCACTGTAACACATATCTGTGTGTTGTTGACTTCAAACTCATTTGCAATTGAACGGATTTCATTTGCCGTATTTTCTCCTGTGTGTCGCTCTGTAACTTTTCTTGTAGCTAGAACCGAGTTACGATAGTTCCATTGGTCATCAACAAAATGAGCCGTCATTGTTATGTAACCTTCTGTCGCCAGACTAGTCCAGTGATCAGACGTAAACGCAACAACAATTTGGTTTTTAATGACGTCTTTTAATTTTTGAACAGCATCATTGTATTGGAGAGTGACATAATTTGAAACGGTTGTGCGGGATGGAACTTTAAATTGCGGATTCAGCTCTGTGCAGAATTCCTGAAACCCTCTCCCCTCTACAATACTCAATGGTCGTAGATCACGTGCACACATTAATGCTAGTTTTTGTGTAATTTTCTGATATTTCTCTCTTGTGACTGATAGAAGAGGAGATCTGAAAGCAGTTATCGGTGCTTGTTTTAACTGCTGGGCGACTGGTTTGCTTAAGTTAGTCGATTTATGCTTGAATTTAATGTGGTTCATCATAGTGCCTGTGCTTCCCCCTGCATAAGACAGTTCAATGGCACAAAGATTGCATTTAACCTTCTTTTTACCATTATTTTCAATAACAGTAAAATATTTCCATACCTCACTCCTTTTTTTACCTTCATCAGTCATTTTTTTTAATTTTCTGGCGTCAACAACTTTGATATACTAATAAAAAAAATTACACGATAACAATGATGGATCCGGTTCACGTTCAATATTTTAAAGCTCTATATTCAACAATTTACCGTTATAGGCATGACAATTTGTATTTTCTTAGCAATAAAACGCAGCATTAAATGTTATTTATTTTAAAACATATGCTTGGAAAAATAAAATAATATACTGCTAGTTTTCGCTACTGGGAAATCGGAATTAAAAATGTTAGACCGCATTGGGTTTTAAATAGTTTTGTGAAATATTGTTTCCGGTATCGATTAAAACAGAAAACAATTGTTCGTAAGTAAATTTGTAACAGACAGACTGTGTTTTCTTTGGTAAATATAAAATAAAACAACTTGTTTGTGTCAGATTTTATTTCTGGTAGACATTGATTATGACCTTCGTGTAAACGTTTACTCAATTCGTAAACGTTTAGAGCATTTAATCGAAACGTCGCCGTTTACACGTGTAATCGTTTCGCCCTTATTGTTAGAAACTTCTTTTGACAGGAGAGTCAACCATTTTTTGTCTTCAGTGCAAAAGAGTCAGCAAAGGGAAATAACTCTCGGTCAATTGTCATGAAAAGTGAGGATTTCAGGCGAATGGAAAACAACATTTAACTGATATACCCACCTCAAATCTTTTTGAATCTTTTAGATCTAAGTTCTATCTTACTGAAAAAACCTTTATTATAAGTTGAAATTGCCTGCAAAAATTTCTATGCACTTGAAGAAATAGGTACCTTTGTATTCATTTTATGACAATCTTTGTGTAAATTGATCTGTATTATATTAAAACCCTTGAGTTAAATTGAATAAAATTTATATGCCAAGAAACTTTGATTAGTTACCTATAAAATGAGACCCATGTTACGTTCTCAACTTTTCTACGTTTAGGAAGCATGGAATTATTTTGCATGGTGATAACAATTAGGTCATTTTCGCCATGGCAAAATATTTAAAGGCCGTTGCTATGGAAACCAAGGAAGCACTGTCCAAAATTTACCCACCTATAGTCTTTATATAGGACACTCTTTAATATTATATTGATAAAATAAAATTCCATGATAGTGCGTGGCCAAGCAATTTTGGTCCTTACAGAGAATTGATGTTAAACAAGATACCCTGTGCCTGAAAACCAGTCACCCATACTATCATCAAATTCAAGGCCAGCTACACATATATGTAACAATATATGCTGCGACTTAATTGTGTGGACAAGAGTAGACTGCATTGTGATTAGAATAGTTAAAGACATTGTATGGACAGCAAATGTTTCAAAGCTGATAAATTTCTACTTCATTTACATTTTCATTCCAGCACTGATGAAAAACTGAGTTCTGGTTTCAACTGTCTTGACACTTGGTTTTGTATCTCTAGAATTTTCTAACAATGGACAAGAGGCCCATGGGCCTTATAGGTCACCTGAGCATTATTCAACAACTTTCCAGTGATTGAATTTGTTTTAAGCCAGATGCTATAGCATTTACAATTTGGTAATCATAACTATACACTTAGCAGTTCCTTAGTTTGGTTACTTAATACCCATAGGCAGGGTAGGGGAACAAAAAATGCATTTCAACAAATCAGTAACAGGGTTGCAAATAACCACTCGCCCACTCGCAAATGCGAGTAAATTTTGCTGTGGGCGACCAGCTCTTGAGAATGTTATCGCCCACTTGGCGAGTAAAAGTTTTATCGGACCTTTTCTAGGATCAGATCGTAGCTTGGTTCTACTATTCAAAGTACTTTCGTTTTCCTATCCCAGGCGGATTTTTCTGTGTTTGATCATTCAGCTGACTCTATTTTTTTTAACAAATATTTATTATAGCTTTATTTGAGATAAAAAAAATATGTCAACCTAGTCAACATTTACCTTAAATTTAAAGAGTAATCATTATTGTAACAAGAATTCCCCCAACAACTTTATGAAGTTCGTTTTCTGCCGCTATAGGCAGCCATGTTGGGTGTCCATTGTAAATATAACACCTGGTTAATTCAGTCCAGGGATGCACATGTTTGGTCCTCTCATTTATAAACCAAAAAAAACGACATATCGACCCTTGGTTTGGGGGGAATGTTACAAAAATCAAACATTTTTTAAAAGTGCATGCCCTGAAAAAACTGAAATCAAAAGATAACATGGGATTGCATACATTTAGTAGTGTAAAAGTCTCCAGGAAAATGTTGAAAAAAAAATGAAATACTCTTGACAATAAAGTATTTTTCTCTTATGTTTTAATATGAAAAGATTTTTTACAAAGTGAAAAAAAAATTGTGGGCCCCATAATATCAATGTGGGCTAGTAAAATTTGTGAAGTTGGGGGCCCACATGGCCCCTATGGTTTAAATGTTATTTGCAACCCTGAGTAATATTCAGCAATAATCAGTAATGCCGCTACCACACAGGAATCCTTGACTCTTAGGCTTTGATCCACACATTGCACAATTTTTGGAAAGGCATCCTTGCTTTTCAAAAAAATTTGATGAATACCAAGGAGCACATTTCAAACAATTCATTCATTTTCAGTATATAAGTACAGCCCCCCCCCCTATGGTACAACTGATCCTGGGGTCTTGAAATTTACAATTCTTGAAAATTGGGTCCCTTGCTCATAACTATATAGGTAGTTCATTTGCTTAAAACCTAGGAACAAAGAATAAAATATTCAAAGATTTAATGTTTTTTCACTATACATGTATAATCAATACACCCCCCCCCCCCCCCCCCCCGCCCTAACACCAGAACCCCTGACTCTGGGGCCATAAAATTCACAATTTTGGTAGAGGCACTCTTGCTCATTATAACTATGTACTTAGTTAGTTTATTTAATATTCAGGAGCAGAGAAGAAGATTTTCAAAGAAATAATGCATTTTCACTATATACTTATTTAGCCCCGCCCTAGCACAAGAACCCCTGACCCCAGGGCCATGAATTTCACAATTTTGATAGAGGACTCAATGCTGATTACAATCATGCAAACAGTTTGACTGCTTGATGTCCAGGAGTAAAGAAGAAGATTTTTAAAGATTTCATTAATTTTAGTGGTTTTGGCCCCACCCCCCAGGCCCCAGGGGGGTAGGGATCATGAAATTCACAATTTTTGTTCCCCTTCACCCATAGATGCTTTGTGCCAAATTTGGTTGCAATTGGTTCAGTGGTTGCAGAGAAGAAGCTGAAAATGTTCAAAAGTTTACGACCGATTGACGACGAACGACGAACGACGTACGACGAACGACGGACGACGACGGACAAAAACAGATAGCAATAGGTCACCTGAGTGACTCAGGTGACCTAAAAATGGGTAATCATGTTAATCGTGTTGAATGTTCCTGTTATTCTTATAAATGTATGATGTGATATGTCACAATCAATCAGAAAACTTCTGGCTTATAAGACTATTTTAAATAGCAATGATGACTAATTTAATCTATGTACTACATAAAAAAGAATATCAAAACTTAGAATCATAAATGATTCTCAAAATGTAACATTTGTCTTTGTTAGATAAATTGTTGAAAACATGAATTTGTTGAGTTTTACTTTAAAGGTAAATATACTTGAAACTCGACATTTAAAATTATAAGTAAACCCTCTTCCAAATATAGAGTCAAATAAAGAATGGAATTGCCAAACATTCTTCTGTGCTAACAAAAGAATATATACTGTAAGTCGTTTTAATTCCACGGTGTTAAAATTTCACGATATCTCAAAAAGTACCAATTGCGATGGTTTTAATTTCACGCTACAAGAAATTAATTAAAAATTTATATAAGCATTAAAACATTTTTAAGAACTAGTAATAGAATTCACGATGGGTTTAATTTCGCGGAAAAATGATAAACCGCGAACATAGCGAAATTAAAACCATCGTGATTATTTGCCAATCTACAGTATACCCCCGGCAAACGAAGTTTGGGGGGTATATAGCAGGGTTTAAACTTAACGCTCGCCCACGCGTCAAATGCGAGTAAAAATTCGTGTGGGCCCGTAAATTTCAAAACTTGTTCGCCCACATGGCGAATGAAAATTTCGGTAACCAACTTTTAATATCGAGATAATATTATCGGGTTCGTTATGTCAGAAATCAATGTGACCTAAACGCTCCCTCAGATCCTTACTATTCGCTTACCGTAAAGCGTTGCAATGACCTACAGTAAATCAAGATGGCGAAGCAAACGCAGTTGTCTGCGTTTTTTAATATCGGAGAGATTCAGTCTCAGAAGCGAAGTAGATCAGCTGAATCACGAGATGAATATTATAAACAGTACGATAAAAAGAGGAAGAGACAGTTCAGAGAGTCATGGGTTATTGGGAGACCTTGGCTGACAGATACAGAAACAGGAATGATTTGCTCACACTGCGTTTCTTATCAAGGAAATGAAGGAACCTCGGCTTTTACTAAAGGTTGTACTCTTTACAAATTAGACTCTATCGTGAAACATGAACAGTCTAAGGTGCACAAAAACTGTGCTGAAATTCACAAACAGAAGACCAAGGAAATACCGGAGGCAGTCAAGATAATACAATCACTGAATAAAGATATTCATGATAGGTTGCGCATTATGTTTCGAAATTGTCACTCGATAATTATGAACAACAGGCCGTTAACAGACTATCTTTGGTTATGTGAATTAGACGAGATTAAAGGAATTGAGGTGGGACAAACTTACAGAAACATTATGTCGGCAAAATCCTTCATTAAAGCCATTTCTGATGATGAATTCAAGAAAGTGAAAATGGACATTCTGAATACTAATTATTTGTGTATCATAGGTGATGGTTCCACAGATTCATCAGTGAAAGAACAGGAAATGTGGTTTGCAAGAACATGTAGACATGGTAAAATACAGATGTATTTTTTAGGTGTACAAGAGACAGAAAAAGCAGATGCAAGTGGGATTCTTAATGGATTGAAGAGTTTGATTGAAACAAATTTAACCCTATCATCTGACTGCTTTTTAAGTAAAGTTGTTTCTTTGTCATGTGATGGAGCTAGTGTTATGGTTGGCTGTAGGAATGGTGTAGGGGCACTTTTAAAGAAAATTCAACCTTCCATTGTTGTAGTGCATTGCATGGCACACAGACTCGAACTTAGTTTGAAAGATGCAGCTAAAAAGCATGCCTTGTATGATAAAGTAGTTAGAGTATTACTGCAAGGAATTTATTTGTTCTATCATAACAGCAGTTTGAACCGCTCCATGCTTAAACGTTCCTTTGAAGCATTGAAGCAGGAGAAAGATAAACTCATGATTCCAACTCGATCGGGGGGAACTAGGTGGATTGGACATCAATTAGCTGCCATTGAACACTTGCTTTGTTCATACAAGTTTATTGTTTCCCACCTGGAACAGGTACTTATAATAAATCATGTTTAAAACAGAATTGATTTTAAGTAGTTACTGTGAGGGGCTAATGCTATAAGTGACCAAAATAACTCATTATTTTGAATTTTCATTTATGCTTTTGCATTTCAAAATCTCATTTTATTTATCAACAATTTACATCATACTGGGATTTTTGTTTTTACCAGGGTTTGCAACTGTCAAACATATTACTTAAAAAAAGAAAATTATTATATGAAGCTTTTATTAACAATAATGTTTAATTTTTTAAAATGATTACAGATTGGTACAACATCTGAGAGGGTTTCAAGTGACAGCAAGAGTAAAGCAAAAGCTTATCTATCTCTCTTGAAATCCCGAAATGTCATTGAATTCCTTCTGTTTTTGATGGACATTTTCACTCCTTTGAAAAGAATGTCTCTGGTTCTTCAAGACCGCAACACCACTCTGTCAAGTCTGTACTGTGTCCTAGCTTCTACTATCGAGGTCATCGAGAAGTATAAAACAAGGTGAGGAAATCTATTTACTTAAATATCAAATATTATTTAGTTATATTTATAATCATTTAGGAATAACTCAGAAGTAATTAAATTACACAACTTATGGATTATCAGTGTTGGGCCTTACCAAAGCAAGATACAAGGAACATCAGAGTTTGAAGGAGTATCTTTGTCAGGACCTGTGAAATTTTCAAAGGAGGTGTTCATCAAGTCAGTGGTTGGAAGTCTTGAAACTCGTTTTAGAGATTTCAGAGATGCAGAAAATATTGTTAGAGCTACCAGGATAGCAGATCTTAGATCTTGGCCAGTTACTTGGGATGACTTGAAAGGTTTACTTACACATGTTTTTTTTTCAGGTTCTTATTTTGTTTTCCACTGTGCAGCTTGAATGAATTTTTTACTTACTTTTCAGTTAAAGTTTTACCCTGTTGTTTTTTTGTTGATGTTCTGTCTTGATAAATATACCAGTGTACTTCATGTTGGACAAATGTAAAAATAAAATAAATAAAAATTTTCAAAATAATTAAAAAATATGTTTCAATCTTCATGATATACTAAATAATTTTATGCAAAGAAATAGTCTTATTTGTGTGAACAACAATCATCATTTTTTAAATACAATTCTAAAGTATTTAATTATGAGTTATAAATAGTTGGCAATATATTTTTGTAGTGTGGGGAGATAAGGAAGTTGATGATCTGACCTCTCACATCTCTGATGTCTTGGAGGAATCTGGGGTGAAGATTGAAGATGTAGTAACAGAGTGGACTCTTTTAAAGAAAGAAGTTCAGAACAGGTACATTTAATGTAGGATTTGTGCTGAGTTATTCAACTTATATATTTTAGTTTGGTCAACAGAAAATTTCTGGAACATTCTGCATGTGTGTATTATTATTATTATTTTTTTAATTATTTCAGGCACATGAGCAATTATGGAGAAAAGGCCTCTTGGGAAATGATCAACAATGAACTGAGAGAAAATCTCCCAAATATTCTGGAACTTATAGATTTAATTTTGTCACTCTCACCTTCCAGTGCTGAGGCTGAGAGAGGATTTTCTCAGCTTAAGTTGATCAAGACAAATCTAAGGAGTAAGATGGGAAATGAACTACTTAACCAGAGCATGATTATAAAACTACATTCCCCATCAATAACAAATTTCAATCCTGATGATGCCATCACTGTATGGAATACAGCATCCCTTAGGGTCAGAAGGCCCTTATGTACTCCTTTAGGCAAAAGAAAAACAGACTCTGAAAGCATTGATCAGGAAACAAATGAAGATGAAGTTGAAGTTGAAAGTGATGCAGATCTTGTGAGTTGTCAGTGTGACTGTTGTACAGCCTCTTCAGACTGATGAACTTGTTGGAGAAGACTCTGACACTGAAATTGAATCTATTCAAGACATACTGGACAGTGTTGAGATTGAACAAGAACTAGAAATAGAATATTCATAATGAGCAAGAACTAGTAATAGAATATTCAAAATATGTTGTTTGTGATTTATTTTTACACAAATTAAATTTTGCACAATTAATTGGTGTGTGGGCTAATAAATTTGGCTGTGGGCCCCCAAATTTGAAAATTTAGGGGCCCACATGGCTAGTGAAAATTTGAGTTAAGTTTAAACCCTGTATAGGAATCACCTTGTCCGTCTGTTCGTCTGTCTGTCCGTCTGTCTGTGCAATCGTGTCCGGTCCATATCTTTCTTACAGAGGGACATTAGAATCTACTACTCCACACTAAGATTGCTCATGACCTAAGGGTGTGTCATGACCTTGACCCAAGGTCATTTGGGGAAGTTCAAGGTCACTGGAAGAAAAATTTCATAATTCGTGTCCGGTCCATATCTTTCTTATGGATAACTTGGTAGGTTCTCATTTCAAATAAAGATAGCCCATGACCCAAGGGTGTGTCATGACCTTGACCCAAGGTCATTTGGGGAAGTTCAAGGTCAATGGAAGAAAAATTTCATAAATCATGTTAGATACATATCTTTTATGGATAAATTTGGTAGGTTTTCATTTCACACAAAGATTGCCCATGACCCAAGGGTGTGTCATGACCCTGACCCAAGGTCATTTGGGGAAGTTCAAGGTCACTGGAAGAAAAATTTCATAATTTGTGTCCGGTCCATATCTTTCTTATGGATAAACTTGGTAGGTTCTCATTTCACACAAAGATTGCCCATGATCCAAGGGAGTGTCATGACCTTGACTCAAGGTCATTTGGAGAAGTTCAAGGTCACTGGAAGAAAAATTTAATAATTGATGTCCGGTCCATATCTTTCTTATCGATAAACTTGGTAGGTTCTCATTTCACACAAAGATTGCCCATGACCCAAGGGTGTGTCATGACCTTGACCCAAGGTCATTTGGGGAAGTTTAAGGTCATTGAAAGAAAAATTTCATAATTCGTGTCCTGTCTATATCTTTCTTATGGAAAAATTTGGTAGGTTCTCATTTCACTCAAAGATTGCCAATGACCCAAGGGTGTGTCATGACCTTAACCCAAGGTCATTTGGAGAAGTTCAATGTTACTGGAATAAAAATTTCATAATTCGTGTTTGATACATATCTTTATTATGGAAGAACTTACCTCTGAAAAACCCAGCGGGGGGTATTTTGTCCCGTTTGGACAGTTCTAGTTTTAAATTGTATATTATGAACTCAACGATAATAACAAAACATGTTCACACAACAGTCAATCTAAGTTGTTCATCCTTCAACGGCAACAAGTTTTATTGAAATTGTTAGGTACTAGGTAGTAAGAAATCACAATGGGAATTCCTTTAAATGTACCTTTTCTTCGTTGTCTTTAATATCGTGAATTGACATTGGCTTCCTTTTACTAGACTCTATTTTTAGGGCAAGCAATTCCTTTTCCAGGTGTTGTATTTCTGTTGAGAGGCGCTGCATTTGTTGAGTACAGTTAAATGTGCAGGATACTAAGTAGTTGTGCTATGATATCAACTTGAAAATATACTGTGAATATCATGAGTAATTCAATGTACAGTTTAAAGAACTGTTCTATTATTAAAAATTTTTGAAAATGTTTTAGTGTTGGTCATTTGACATCAATGGTGTTTTATATGAGCTTTACTTTTTCTTGATCTTGACATTTTGGTGCTTGTGGAATCTGCAACTGGTCCATCTGTGAAGATGACAGGGACTCCTCACTTTTGAGTTTTTTTCCTCCTTTGTAAAATAATTAAACTCGAATTATTTTTTATTCAGTTATAAGCTACTCTGTTTATTCATGTACCCTTTTAAAGATTTTTAGTAAAATATTCTCAATTAAACCCCATCCACCCACCATCCAAAAACAAGATGTCATATTTTGAAAAATAATTTCACCTTTTTGTACATTCAGGATCAGAGAAATCCATGCCCTTTCCTTCATTCCATGCAAAATATGCAGGATCCCCCTCCTTCTTACCATCCTTAAAGTGGCAGGAGCAGATACGATCATGCTGATCTCCTGGTTGGCGATCAGCTCGTCTAAAAATATTCAAACAAAGACTGAGTGAAGGAGAATTAAAAAGCAAAACATGTTCATTTGGATTGTTATTATCAAATCATAGCCTAAATGACTTCTATTATTTTTTTCCTTTTTTTTTTAAAATGTTACAATTACTTACAAGTACAAGATAACCATGTGCATAACAGTAACAAAGGGTAGCAGTAATTGGTAGTAATAATACGAAATAAAATGTAATAAAAAAGCTGTTAAACAAAAATGAACCCTGCTACAAATTGCAGTTTTTACAGAATATTATTCTCTTCATTATTCTTCTGATATATTGAGTATCTGGAACCCCAGTGCCCCTGAGAATATCCTCCAATACCTCCTTTACTGCTGTGTAGGAGCAAGGATTTACAAGAACAGGGTACCCTGTTTCAAATAAGGTATATTAAAACTATATAGTATTTGTATGGTGTTTATTGGCATTTTTTACGAATCAACAGTAGGAAATGACTGCTTTTTCTTTATGTAAATTAATTTCAAAAAGGTCGTATTAGTACTTATTTAATTTTTTTTTCTCTTTTATTCTTTAATTCATGTATTTTATATTTACAAAATTGCATGTGTGTGTGAAAGGAGGGGGGGGGGGTTAAAGTGCATTACTATTGATTTGTATACACCCATTATAATTTCTGTAGAACCAGGATGGTAATGCGGCATGCAATTATAGGGGTCCTGTTTGGTCTTGCTGTTGCTCGCTTCTTGGCTGCTGTCAATCTTGGCCCTCTTTCTTCTTTGTATTTTTTGTACAGTATATGGTCTTCTAATGATGTAAGTCCTTCTTGCTGTTCGTTAATTATAATTTGAATTCGGTCCGAAATAAAATTTTGTCTAGAGTGTCTAAAGTGTGAGTCTGCATCTTCAAATAATTTAAATAATTTGTCAACTGAATTTGATATGTTTGAGAATATAACCAGTGTCTAGGAAAAGGATCAAAATTTATTTGCAGTTGAGAAAGAGGGTATAAGAAATGAACAACTGTGGTAAAGGTCAAGTTCCCCGCCAATACTTGATTATTATCAAAGTACGTGATCACATCGTGTGGGGAGGGCAACTGGAGGGGATTGAGAGAACGAGACTGCACCCAGTTCTGTAAACTGCTGTAAGATCCACAGGGACTAGAAGCAATGTTCATATTACACAGGGCTTTCCTTACACAGATGTAATAAGAAAGGTTTTTAGCAAATGAGAAAGGTAATATTACATTATTTTGAAATAATGAAGATATAATTTCATGCAATTGCAACCAGAGGTCTCTGATGAGACTAGCTCTACTGGTCTGTACGTGTAACGAAGGAAAAGTAGCACTTGGATTTGAAGCTTTGCAACAGGCAGCAATGACAAGAATTGTGTATCTTAGTGTAGTCTACTTGTGTGCCAAATTTATTGAAATCAGACCAAAGGAGTAGCGTTTTAAAGGAATTTCACAGTAATTTCTATTTTTAGTAACCATAACAACACCGTACGTTCATCGAAATCAAAAACCGATGTACTAGTTTATGTATCTTAGTTTAGTCTACTTGTGTGCCAAGTTATATTGAGATCAAACCACAACAGTAGGAGGAGTAGCGTTGTAAAGGAATTTCAGAAATTTCTATTTTTAGTAATCATGGCAATACCGTTCAGCGAAATCAAAAAACGATGCACTAGTTTGTGTATCTTAGTGTAGTCTACTTGTGTGCCAAGTTATATTGAAATCAGACCATAATTGTAGGAGGAGTACTGTTTTAAAGGAATTTCACAGAAATTTCTATTTTTAATTACCATGGCAATGCTGTTCAGCGAAATCAAAAAACGATGCATTAGTTTATGTATCTTAATTAGTGTAGCCTACTTGTGTGCCAAGTTATATTGAAATCAGACCAAAACTGTAGGGGGGGTAGCGTTTTAAC